CTGAAACTATTTACAATCTGATCCTTGTTGACACAAAATGAACAAACCTTACAGAATCTCTAAAAGTAAGAAAGAAACTTTTATTCAAGCCCAAGTTAGGACAGCTGCCCAGGAAACACACTCTTCACAGGTAAGAAAGTTTCTGTAGACTGAACAGTTTTCGAAGAGTTCTATGCTTTTTTATATCTTGTAAAGGCTCAAAAGATTACAGATTACCATATAGGCAGGAATCACAAGTTTTAATATCAAGGAATGCAGGGAGTAGGAGCATTGATCAATATCTTTAAGGACAAGATGGTTTTCCTTTAGGCTACTCATTTACAAAGCAGGTCTACAATGTATGCTTGAAGGGCCATAAGTTAGGCTTTTGTTTTAAAAAAAAATTGTCACACACTGAAATAAAGCTCTCAGACACCAATCTGAGTCGTGCATGGCTGCCTCTGCAAAGGAGAGTAGCAGCATACGAAGTTGGTCTTTATGGACAACCTGTTGCTTACTTGAAGACGTTCCCATAACTAACAAGTTTATAACAGACAGAAAAATAGATCAGACAGAAATCAAAAGTAAATACTGCACTCCTGAAAGAAAGAAAAAAGTGAGTTCAATGGTCACTCCGTCGCAGGTATGGAGTGCCTGTAGTTCCTACCTGGATGAGCAGACGTCCTTTCCCTTTCTCCGGCTTGAGGAGTGACGTGTGTGCAGGCAGGGAGTACGTGGAGTAGGTGACCACCAAAGACAAATGTTTCTCCTCTCATTTACTCCCTGGATGAGTGTTGAGTGCATTGAGCTGCAACAAGGATCTGGCTGTCTTCAGTCCAGAAATTTCAAAGAAGGCCCAGTTTTCTGGACATTCCTTTGCTTTTCAATTAGTCTCATCCAGGTAGGCGTATGTTTATTAAATCTTATCTAGCCAGGCATTATGAATTCCCACAAAAAGTTAAGGTACAGACATACTGACTTAGAAAGAAATCTAAAATGTCAGGTCTTTAGAGAGTTCTTTCTTTCATCACCCTTTATAGAAAGTTTGCCAGCACCTGATCTATTTGACTGAAAATAAAGTCGAGAACATTCCTTAACATACATTCTGTATCTCCCAGACAGGCGCTTATACGCTCATCTGGAGCCCCGATTTTTGTGACTGCCACTCAAGGGACACCTCTGGATCACCTGGCACTAGTGGTTCACAACGCTTACGCTTGTGGTCTCATAAAACTGTATGTATTTGCATTTCTTTTATTTTTTAAATTTTTTTATTTTTGTTCCAGCTTCTTTAAGATATAATTGACAAAAAACATTGTATAAGCTTAAGGTGTAGGAGGTGATAATTTGATACACTTATATATTATCATTACAAAATAATTGTCACAATAGGCTTAGTTAACACTTCCATCATCTCATAAAATTACCGTTTTTTATTTTTGTGGTGTATATTTAAATACTTTAAAAGCTACTGCCTGAGAGTTTGGCTTCCATTCCGCCTGAATCTAGGTGCTGTTTGAGATCCTCACTTTTGAAACCCTGAAAGGCTTGGCACACCCTCAACTACTGGGAGCTATTAAAATATAATAGGCTGGGACGCCTGGGTAGCTCAGTGGATTAAGCGTCTGCCTTTGGCTGAGGTCGTGATCCCAGGGTCCTGGGATCAAGTCCCACATTGGGCTCCTTCCTCGACGGGGAGCCAGCTTCTCCCTCTGCCTGCCGCTCCTCCTGCTTGTGCTCACTCTCTCTCTCTCTGACAAATAAAATAAAAAAGTCTTTAAAAAAAAATAAGATATAATATAATAGGCTCAGGGCTCCTGGATGGCTCAGTAGGTTAATCAGCTGCCTTCTGCTGGGGCTGTGATCCCTGGGTCCTGGGATGGAGCCCAAGGTCAGGCTCCCTGCTCGCTAAGGGCCCTGCTTCTCCCTCTCCCTCTGTCCTTCTCCCTGCTCCTTCTCTCTCTCTCTCAAATGAATAGATAAAATCCTTAAATATATATATTTATATAGAGAGATATATATTATATATTATAGGCTCAGTTTTCTCATCTGTTAATGAGGATAAGACTTCTTTCACCTTTATGCTGAAGCAGTGAACATAGTCGTGAGCTGCTTAGATGCCCCTTAAAAGAACTTGTTGGGGCGGCTGCGTGGCTCCCTGATTAAGCACCCACCTCAATCTCAGCTCAGGTCTTGATCTCAGGGTTGTGAGTTCAAACCCTGCATTTTGTTCCATGATGGGCTTGGAGGCTACTTAAAAAAAAAGAGTGGGGGGTGGTGCCTGGGTGGCTCATTTGGTTCAGTGACCAACTCTTGGTTTCAGCTTAGGTCGTGATCTCCGGGTCCTGGGATCCAGCCCTGAGTTGGGGCCCAGGCTGGGCAGGGAGTCAGCTTGAGGATTTCTCCCCCTTTGCCCTCCCCCCACACACACACACAAAAGCCTTCTTGTGTTCTCTCTCTCTCTCAAATAAATAACTCTTTTTTAAAAAAAGAAGAAAAAGAAGAAATACTTGTTGCCCCAGCCGTCAGCTCCTGCAAGACTATTTTCAGAGCATGTCTTCATCCAAAGACGGATTGCAGTGGGGATGGAAGGGTGTGTGCGCCCATCTTAGCCTGCTGCAGTGTAGCCCTAACAGGCTGGACAAGGCTTTCTCATGTCTGCATTACAGTTTGACTTCTCACTCTGCCCAATCCACCTCTTCCCTTTCTCTGCCACAGCTAGTGATCCCTATAAAATATCCTGCATGCCAGACCTTAAATATATATAGTGAACTGCTTGGATTATCACAAAGGTTTGAGAGACAACAGTAAGAGCTAGGGTGGGGTTGAACAATAAGTTTTCTCTCCTACATGCGGCCCCTCATTCAAAACTGGAAGAGGTAGATGTTTTATTTAATGTAGAGAAACCAACACAGAGAACCAAGAGAAATGAAAAGAGGAATATGTTCCAAACAAAAGAACAAAATAAGAACTCAGAAAGATGGTCCCTTCTTTTAGAGGATTGGCTTTAAGGAACAGAAAATTAACTGATAGTCACTTGGAAATTTTGTGTTTCAATAAAGCCATTTAGTGATTTTTTTTCTAAAACCCATAAGCTGACTGAACACTCTCTTCTTTGCCATCTCCATCTCTCTGTTCCTGAAGAATGTATATATGTATATATGACTGGATTTAGAAAAGGAGTGAAGACTGCATCAAATCTGGCTATAAATTTATCGAGATGTGTTGAAGGAGAGGACCACATATGGAAAAAATCAGTGGACCAAAGAATAAAATCACCACAATAATATGAGCTGACAGAGTAAAAAGAGCCTCGAATGAACTACCTGAGGAATGTTCCTGAAGAGTGGCTAGGGAGAAGACGTAAGAGAGGAGGAGCAAGAAGAAAGCAGCCAAGGAAATGAACCCACTATTACAAACACCAGTTTATAAGTATCTGCACAGGCAAATTTGATTAGCCAAGGTATGTCACAGTAAAAGCTATCTAATACATTAGAGCTACAGAGGGGCAAGTTTACCACAAAAGCTGGTTGGGCCAATATGTGAATGAAACCAAATGGTCCAGACAACCACTAAAATCAAAATGCACATTCATGGGTTCACGATGGTCAGGTAATGGAGAGGCTTACATATGGCCCTATATCTTTCAAAGGCCATGGCAATGAGCAGTACATCTCATTGCCTCCAACAGCATGGCAAAAGAAGACCTGAGCTAGATAGCCCCCAAAGGAGAGGACTTTCTGCTTCCTGAAAAGATCACAAAGCATCTTGGCTGCTACAGTGGAGCAAAATATCAGGTCAATGATGGAGAGACTGGCTAACAGAGAATACATGGGGAGGGGAGGGTATAAGGGTCAGAAGTCACAGTGACCCCTACTAGAAGGATTCCCATCATCCTAGACATATATAAAAGGCAATAAAAGCAAAAAAGAAGCTGGATCTCCCAGGAATTGGAGAGTCCCAGGAACACAAACTCAGACACCCCGGGGTGATTGGCTCCATCCATTGGTTCATTTGGTAGGTATACGCTCCTGATACCTAAAGAAAGTGATAGAATTCCAATTAATACTATTACATTAATACCCTCTATGGAAAAAGTATATAAAATTTGGAAGTCAAATATTACCTGAGCATTTCACAAAAATCAAATAACATCCTTTTGGCCACTATTACTGTAGTTACATATGATACCAACTGAGTTGCCAAATAGCCTTGCTAACACAAGGAATGGTGCCTAGGAAAAATTTATTTAAATGACAAGTCTTTCACATACCATGTAAATTATTTTTTCTGATCACTTTTTGGGAGTAGCAGCTAACTCAAATTTAGGTATTTAAGCAAATGGGAGTTTTGGGGTTTTTTTGTTTGTTTGCTTGCTTTTTTATTTTTATTTGAAAACAACTTAAATTTTTAGACAAATGATTTTAGTATATAAATTTGATTTTGTTTTTATACAGAACATAAAGATTTCCCTCATTGATCTTCCACGTGAAAGGTATTACAAGCCTGAAGGGAGAGACTTTCTGCCTACAAGTGTGTATCTTACACATAGGGAACTGGAAACCAATGGTGTAGTGCTTCTACACATAAATTACGTCAAGAGACATCACATATTAAAAAGGAGTAAGAGAAATATTCTAATTAATCAGATTCAAGAAGCAAACAGGACACAAAAACTGTGCAGATAAGACCAAGTCAGTAACTTTAGTTAGGGCACTGCGGGTTATACTGGAGTAACAGGTCTGTGAGGCGATAGTGGGTACCACAATAAAACAGCAAGGAAGAGCTATTTATATAGAAAGGCTGGAATGAGGGATTTTCACTAAAGCAAATTAACTTCTTGTCAACTGCCAAAACAAAACCGAGCACATGAATGTTGGTATACTGAAGGCATGTTATACCAGTTTCTGTGCAGCATGCTAAAAGTTAGTTAGAATTTCACTGGTGCATATGAATAATAGTCACGGAAAGGTTTTTTTGTTTTGTTTTTTGTTTTTTGTTTTGCCCCTTCTCACCAAATTTCAGGCATGTCTTATTTTAGATGGAGTATAGCTTTTATCTATAATTTCATCCTGAAAAAACATGTGAAGACAACGTTCATTCTGTGCCAGAGGATGACCAGCGACCTTGTTTATAAACTGCTCCAGCCCTTGCTTCCTTTCTTCAATAAAATTGTCATCAAATATTCCATCATCTCCTCTAAAAGGAAGCTCACGCAAAAATGCTTTTCCAGGGAGCGGGGGGACTACAACCTTGCTCTCTCTTTCTAATTCACATCGCAGCCATTCAAAGCCACTGTATCTTCTTCTAACAGTAGATTCCTTCAGCTTGAAAATAGGCAGATTTGTCTTGACCCTGATTTCGTAGGTGGTGAAGCGGCCCCGGCCAACCCCCACCGTCTGCGGGTTGCTTACATCGATCCCGAGGAAGTTGCTGGGCCGCCCGTAAGCATCATTCAGGTTCTCCGGCTTGGTGATCAGCCGCCGGGTGTCAGCCACGGTCTCCGCCATTTCTTTACTGCAGCCGCCGCCGCCGCGGACTCCTTCCGCCCTCTGCGCGTTCCACCGACGCCGCCGCTGCTGCCCGCCGCCGCAAATGGGAGTTTTGATAGAATAAAAAGCCAAATAAATTTGGAATATCTGGTTCTGTCCAAATATAATGGGCCTCAATGAGGTACATCAGAAAGAAGAATTGGACAAGGAATTGCTGAATAGACAGGAGAATTTACTTGAACTTCTTTCACATTAAAAAAAACATTGGAAAGAATAACAGGGTGGACCACTGTTCATGTTGGTGGTCGAGTTAACTAAGATTTAATGGGTGAGGGGGAGCGAGAATGGGGGACAGAGTGGCATGAAGAATGCTTCTAGCAGAAGGAACAGCAGACAAGTCCTGGAGACAGGAGAGAGCCATGCATCTTTTACCCTTCAAAACCTGCTCAAAGATTTCCTTTTCCAGAAGCCTCCCAGTATAGGCCTCCAGCACATATTGATGATTCCATATATTTTTGGCGTTTTCAGGTACTGATCCAAGCAACCCAGAAAGAAAATGTGCATAAAAATAAAATCAGTGATTTATTTAAATCCATTTCAAGTTAATTTCTGTGAATGGTGTAAGATAGAGGCCTAGTTTCATTCTTTTGCATGTGAATATCCAACTATCCAGCACTATTTATTGAAAAGAATGTCTTCTCCAGTGAGTATGGTAGAACCTAAATGGTGGGTAGGCAGGTATTCACCATAAAATTCTTTCATCTTTGCAGTATGTTTGAAATACTTTCAAAATAAAATATTTCAGAGGGAAGGGAGGAACATATCTCATAAAATGATGATGTTCTACCAAAGATGGCATGCTAAGTACAATCTCCAAAATCTCCGAAAGCCATTTGGGGAAGAAAAAAAAAAAAAAGTCCATTAGATTGTAAGTCTCTTAAAAGCCAGGAGCTAAACATGGAGTTTATTCATTCAACCTGTTTTTGGACCAATACCCGTGTGCTAATTCCTAGACAAGGAGCTTGGAGCCCAGTGAAGAGACACACACATCCGAACAAAGCAATTGAATCCAATCTGGATAACTGTTATACTATAGCTATTATACTATACCATATATAGATTATACTATATTATAGTATAGCTATTCTATAATGCATGTTCAGTGCAGTGGGTAGTAACATAGAAGAAAGAAACCCTAAATCTACCTGGGGGGATCTGGGAAGACTTCCCAGGGAAAGTAGCATTTGAGTAGAGACTTAAAGAGTTTGAGAGACAAATGAATGGGAGGTGGGAGTTTAGGGTGCCTGGGAAGATATTCCAGGAAGAATTCCAGGAGGAGTGCAGCATGTGACGTGGCATGTTTGGCATGTTTGAGAAGCTGTAGTCATTTAGTACTAATGGAACATTACGTACAGTGTGGAGAGTGGTAGGAGAAGAGACAAAGAGCTTTTTAAAAATATTGTGCCCACCCCAGACCAATTAAATCAGAATCTTTGAGAGATGGGCCAAGAGTCTAAGTATTTTTTGAAAGCACATCAGGTCATTCTAATGCACAGCTACTGTGGAAAACCACTGCTCTACTCTATGCTTCTCTTTGTACTCCTAAGAATCTTGTGCATCCCTTTTTCTTTTTTTTTTTTTTTTTTAGAGAGAAGGAGGGGGGCAGGGGTAGTGGAAGAGAGGGAGAGAGAAAGAATCCCAAGCAGGTTCCAGCACAGAGCCAATGTGGGGCTCAAGCTCACAACCCTGAGATAGTGACAGCCAAAATCAAGAGTTAGATGCTTACCCCACTGAGCCACCCAGGCACCCCCTTTGTGCATCCCTTTATCACTATACTTACCACATAACATTGAAACTATTTCTCTGTAGAAAGCAGGGATGCTTTCTTATTTTTCTCTTTATCTCCAGTGCCTTGCACTCTTTCTGGCACTTAGTAAATACTCTATAAGTATTTGTTGAACTGAGCAAAACTAAAATATAAAGGATAAAATTAGACCAAAGCTCAAGTATTAACCTCCCTCAGTGTCTCCCCAAAGGCCATTCATGTCCATGACCCACAAACTCCCTTTCATTCACCTGTGATGACAGCATATGCTTTATGAAATACACCTATAATCCGTCAGCTCAATGATACATTATCCTTAAGCTGTAGAGTAGTCTGAAACAGAACAATTGCAAACCTATTTCATTTTAGCTGGGGAAAAAAGTGTGTATTAGTTAATAAAATCTTAATTTTTAAAATAAATGATACTTTGAAAACAAAATCTCACAGAATGACTTGATTGAAGAGAAATTATCAACTAATATATTAATTTTTAAATAAGTTTTAATTGTACAGAAAGCACATGAGTCTATTCTCATTTTAAAATTTAGAACACCATGGATAAAGCCAAAGACCTTTTGATCATAAGCCTTAATCCATGACCCCTGCCCTCTTCTCTAGGGGTAAATGACACATGGTATGTATTCTTCCAGACCTTTTTTATGCTCTACATTTATATCTATTCACCTGTGTAAATAAATAGGGCTCTAGTTAATTTCTTTTTTAGATATCTTTATAGATATTTCAGGGTATTGATCAAAGTCCAGACAGGAAGAGAGGTCATATTCAAATGGGTGATTGAAGAGAGTTGACTACAGGAATTATATACAAGTGTTTAGGCAGGGTTAAAGGAGCCAACAAAAGACTGTAAAGGCACCCAGGGCTGGCAAGAGAAGTGAGCTCTTATCATTCCTGGAGTTACATAAAATGGGGAAGAATGGTTTCTAAGACCACAAGTAAAATCTGTAGCTAGAGAAGAGGGTGACCCAAGAGGAGCTGTGAAAATAACACAGCTGCTTCTGTAACTTACCACAGGCCTATAATACATCCTGTAGTATAGGATGTTATCATTCCAAGTAGTGCCCCAACTAGCGCTGTAACTGCACCTCAGCAGGTCATTCCACTAAAAGAAGGCAATTTCTTATAGGGACTAGACTTTATGCAATGTGGAATCTGATAAGCAGTCTAGGTAAGTTTGTGACCACTGAATGGCATGCTGGGCCTGAAGCCCAACAGTCTGGAAGGGAAAATGGACAGGAAGTGAAGATGACCAATGACACACTTGAACTATGTCTCTCACTGCTTCTAATTTTGATGACACAGGTGACCTGCCTAATAAACTGATGCACTTCATTATAAAGATGCAGTTGCACCTGGCCCAGGACTTGGAGGAACTGAAGATGGAGATCCAGTAGGAGCTAAAGGAGCTACAGGCCCAGGTTGTTGTCCCACATCAGCAAGGTGAGCCAGCAACATGTATGAGCTATAATTGTACTTGCCCTATACTGTCCTTCAGACCAAAGATGTCTACTGCTTCACTTCCATCTTCCAAATTTCACACAAACTTTTCTTGTGGTGAGCTCTAACGTGGAAACATGCATGGAAGGGAATTCTGGAAACATAGTTCTGGTTTAGCTAAGTTGACAGAGTATGAAGCCATGACAATGGACTAGCAAGGCAAATCCATTGTGAAATATATATCTATTCCTTGGGGTGCCTGGGTGGCTCAGTTGAATAAACATCCAACTCTTGATTTCAGCTCAGGTCATGATCTCAGGGTTGTGAGATTGAGCCCCACGTCTGGCTCTGTGTTGGGCATGAAGCCTGCTTAAGATTCTCTTTCTCCCTCTCCATCTGTCCCTCCCCCTTCTCCCTCCCTCTCTGGAAAAAAATATAAAAATAAAAAATATATATATACATATGGAGGTATACATATACATGTATGTATTCATGTGTGTGGGTGTGTATATAATACATATATTCCTGCTAGGATAAATCACTGCCTCCATGATAAAAAGAGATCCAGTGTAATCAGTGTGCCACTAGGTAGCTAGCTAATCCCCCCAAGGAATGGTGCCAAATTGGTTTCAGCCATTGACAGTTTGGGACTCAGCAATGGTAGTAGACAGATCCACTTTATTGAAGGAAAGTCCATGGAAGTGAGCCCATGCATAGTTTCTATCCCTTTTACCATAACCGCTTTACACATGAGCCCAGCGAGCAAGCATTGGAGTGGTTAGGGACAAGGCTGACTGAAATTTAGTGAATGGGTATCTAATCCACATAATTAAGAGCCTTCTCTAAAATGGATGCCCTCTACTGGGCATTTACATGAAAATATCTTCATTGAGTACAGGATTTAATTAACCAAATCTAGCAGGCCATTTATAGCACTCCAGGTACTCATATCAATACATTAATATCTGAATATCAGGTGAGTACTTGCATAAATAAACCCTACCTGATTTAGTCTCATATTTTGTCTTTTGCAGCCTAAAACTCTTAGAATTCACTCACATACATATTCCCCAGACTTTACCAATATTGGCAAGATCCTACGATTGTTTTAGTACAAAACTGTATATTATCAGAACAGTCCTTGTACTTCTCTCTTCAGAATATGTTGGGACCTAACTCTTATAATGGTCCTAAACACAACAGTTCCAGGTAAAGCCAAAAATATATTTTTATTCAAGGAAAGACTGGTTCATTCAGACTTCAATGAAGGTATTGTTCTGCCAGCAAAAAGGGTAAGGAGTTGGGAGATCAAGTGACTGTAACATTTGCTTGTATATGATTTATAGCCTTGCTTTTCACTTGAACTTTATTCCATAAAAGCACAAGTGATAATCTGAGTAAAAATATATATCTTCCTTGTCTGGGGGATATGTGCCACATAGGATCAAAGTCCAGTGTGCCCCAGACAAGGAAGATGTACAGGTATTCCTCTATGTGAGCCAACCATTCCCAGAATCCCATTGTGAGGGGCTGTTTCCTGGGACTTCTCTTTATACAAATAGTTATGTTAGGGTTCCACCAGGAAAAAATGCCTGATTCAAATGGAGTAAATGGGGAAAATATAATGAATAAGGGTGTAGGTGGTAATAAGGGAAATCAGGAAGGAATGTTAAAGTATCCAGGACTTGTAACTACAGGGTGCTATTACTATCCCTAAAGCTCATAAACAATGGGAGGA